CAGCTGTCCTTCTCTGACAGACTTCTTCATTAGTTTTTCAAGTGTTACTAATTCACGGTAGTAATAATATTGTTGGACCTATACAATTTAATCATTATCTGGTATTCCAGATCATTTCCATATTTGTGAAAATAAGAACAAATTAGGAAATACCAGTGTGCATCTTAGACCACAAAAATACAAATAAATTTTGAAAATCAATTAGACTTTTAAAAATTAATGTTGACTTGACCCTGTAGTAACATTAAATATTGCTTCCACAGGCAATTATAAAAACTCGTGACTGTGCATGCTACCCAAAATGGTAAACAAAGCACTAAAATGAAAATCTAGATAGAAAGAAAAAAAAATTGAACCCATTTGAGTGGCAATATTCACAGTATTCTCTCTTTATTTCAGGGTATTTTCACGTACAACACTGCATATTTCCAAACTCCTGAGAAACTTGGAAATATTGCAACTTATTTGAAAATTGAAAAATATAAGGTGATGCTATTTTGTAACTCCTTTTGGGCTACATCAAGTACATATTACAGGGAAACGTAAATAATTTGTGGTCAAACAGGATATTAAAGTCACAGCATTAACTGCACAACCCAAGCAAGTTTAACCATATATGAACCATATTTAGAGCAAGTTTTCCAGCCACTTCAAACACTGAGACACACACTGAAAACCAGTCACTCCCAGGCATCAACATGAGTTTTATTTTGAATACCAGGTCTAATAAAAATTTGAAATATCTAATGAAAATCTATGTAACTTCAAGTTCTGAGCAATGTTTTTCTTTCTTTCTTATGTCTTTACATTATGAATACAAAGCCCTGATTTTAAAAAAGAAAATGTGAAAGAAAATTGAAGTAATCAAATAATGCTCAACCAGCAACACCTGAAAACATACAGAAAACCACAGACCAGATTAAAGTGATTTCCCTGTCAATGCCCACATTAACATTTCACTTTGAAGAGCATGGTTGATTAAGTAGTTTTTAAATAGTTTTAAAATTATTTTTAAAACTCACATTCTAAAGTCAGCACACAGGACTGTATTTGCACAATTCACTGTTTTATGAAGGTCCAACAAAAATTTATGAAGGTCCAAAATCTCTAAAACATCCTTAGCTAATGAAAATGAAACTTTTGAAAACTCTCCCTGCTCCCTAAAACCTGGGTGAAGTGTTTACATGTTCTCTGCTTAGCAAATGATTTCTGCTCACCGGTAACTGGTCTGTAGAGGCAAACACATACAGCTTGGTGGTAGCTAATTACTACCTGTTACACATCTACACATAACTAATCAGATGAGTTTGATCCAAGATTCATATTATAAAAAGCAACTAAATTTGACTACATTTTTGGGGAAGAGAAACAGAAATTATGCACCAGGCAGCTCTGTAATGCCCACAAAATTCGAATACTTTATTAAAGAGAACTGAACTTGAGTAAACACACACTTACATAATACACAATGTTTTTCCACAGCTACCAGCATAATATGCCCTTAATATGTTCACTCTGATTCACAAAGGACAAAATAAATCCACATCAATAAAGGATTAAAAATGGCACAGGTCAATTCCTGTTAACTCTAGCAAATATCAATCAACACTTCGCCAAAAATAATAAAAAAGTCCTCTCCGATATAGCATGCATGCTTCCATTTCAGTTTTAAAGCCCTTCTGCTGATTCCACCCTAGAACATGGACCTAAGATAACACCTAAACCAGTCATTAGATAAAAAACTTATTCTGATTCCTTTTATGACTTCAAGGAAGAAACTACAGTGGACACTTGCCTTGTTCACAATTAATTTTGTAAAAACTCTTGCCTTAACTCTTAGGATTTACAGAATTAGACCACGTCAGTCACCCAGTATTTTTTAATAGAAGCAATGAAAGGCAACATAAAAGTTATATAAAAAATAATCAAGAAACCTTCAATTTTGTTTTAGATCAACTAGATAAATCATCAAGGTAGCAAAACTAAATCAAATTAAAAGAAAAAATTTCAAAAGAACTGTTAGAGGGGACACTTCACAGACTCTTACAGGCCTGTTAAAAGCTGTACCATAAAGACAAACCACTTGTTTTAAAATCTGTATCACTACTAAGATGTTCTGCTTATAGTCTGTAGAGCCATATGCAATTTAAAAAAACCCAGCCAAACAAACCCCCAAAATGCATACTAAGTCTAAATGTGAATCCTATCCTTATTCTAGTTCTTGGAACTTCAGTCATAAATTGCAATTAAGAGTATGATTTCATCCACAGGAAACCAGTATTTTCAAATCCACTTATTTTAAAGGGCAATTTTAACAATTAAATGCATATTAGTTAATTTGCATGCCATTTAAGCATACCTATCCAAGCACACCCGGTATGTCACAAAGATATTTAAATCAGTGCCTCCTGAGTGTTGGTCATATTATGCCATCAGTGAGGTTTTTGCATTTCAACAGGGATCTCTCTTTAAAGACTCAAGATACAGTACACACGTTTTCCCACATTTTGCACGCAATGTATTTGAAATGCATCAATTTCTATGATAAAGATTGCATGGCTAAAACCACCCAGAAAACCCCACATCTGTAATTCATGTTGCAACACTAAGGGCTATGCCTCTTCCCTCATTGAAAGGAAGTGTAACCTTTATCACGTTTTAGAATGTGCCAAAACTTACCCCAGAGGCAACATCTGAGCGCTGCCTAGGTCAGTATTTTTTTCCTGTACAACTGTACAGATGATAGAACTGCAAGTCCTGAATGTCTACTGCTAAATACTGTACTGGTTTCCCTGGCTCAGAAGGCCTTATTCCATAGATCAACTATTAATTAAAGAGAATCAGTAATGCTTAGCAAAGGATTCATAACTGATTACTAGCCAAATATTTATTTTTATATTTGTCCTTATCCAAAAATACTAAATGGGTCAAAAATTTGAGCTAGAAACATGATTTTACTTCAAGTTATCATTGACTTAAACTGGAATAGATTCAAGCCCTGAAGCACAATAGCACTTTTTTCCAGTCTCTGTTGCTCACACATCTTCTTGGAGAGAAATAACACTCTAAACCAACAAAAACTTATTTTTGGGGAAAGAAAAAAAAACAACAAAAAACTACCCAGATGATACATTTTACAAATACTAAACCTATGAATTGAGCAGAGAAGAAAACAGGAGGGAAAAAAAGAAAGTTACACATAAAATATATTTACTTCTAAACCAGCACTAGATTTTTCTTCTTTATTTTAAGCTTGTAACAACTTTTTTTTTCTTTTTTTTACACTAGGACTATTATTTGACACTATTGCAAATAATGTGATGATATTTTCAGAAATTCTACTTAGCTAAAAAAGTGATTTTTTTTCAATTTTAAACAAAAATGGACTTTGAAGCAAGGATTCAAATTAATTATTACTTGTTTCACGGTCCACTGGGTCCTATTCCTTTCCCCTCTAAGAAAAAAAGGTTTCCCCTCTACAGAAGATCAGCAAGTCAAATTTGACTAGATATAGTCAGATTCTGTGAAAAAGGAGAAATTCTATAAACAGTAAAATACAAATACAAAAATACCTACTGGCCCTATGAGAAGTCTACTTTAGTGGATTTTTTTTTGTCCCAGAAACATAAAAAGCCAGATATACTATAGAGAATTGCAAAGGCTGCATGCTACCATCTATTTTGCCCCAAGATGTAAGAGTCAGAATTCAAGCAAAAAAAAAAACCATGTAAAATGAGCAACAAATGCCTCAGAACTGCAATACCTGCATAAGACAAATACTTCATGTCAAACTCACATTCCACTTCTAAAAAGGGGTTCCAATTTTTGCTAACTTAGATTCACCAATTGAGCAATTATGCAGTATGTGGGTGTACCTTGCATTCGATTTCTTAACATCTGCATTCTGCGTTAAATTCTAACTGTACAAGATGTCTGATAATTTTTCTTTATCTTGAACCTTCAAAGTGGTAGGTTTACCAGAGGCAAAACCACACACCAGAGAATATGAGTCATATAATAAAGAAACAACTCTTTCCCCTCTTCCCCTTCCACCCTGAAGCTATAATAACCTAATGACACTCTGTTGTAAATGTCTTCTTTGGGAATACTGATAGCATGAACAACTTGCAACCAGTTACCCAATGAATGAAGATTTTTTTAGTCCTTGCTGGATCCATAACAAATTGCTCTCAGTAACATTTTCAGGCAAATTAAAAATTGTGCTACTGCAAAAAAGAAATTCCTTACAATATTCAGAATGTCTATGCACTTGCTTTCATGTCATGCATGATATATATATAAAAAACATTCTATGCATGCTCCTACAAATAATAACATAAAAAGGTAAAAATAATCAAACATATGATGCCTATGCAAATTAATCTGAAAGGGATCTCTCATTTGTCTACAAAAGAGTAGCCTCTGTACAAAAATCCTTAATTTTCTCATGATTCCCCATCAAAAGATGGCAATATTTGCATACAAGTACACCACTGCTCATGCCAGCTACAATAAATACACAAGGAAGCAAACCACCTTACTTGACCACCATTTCCGTGAGTTTCCACTCTGAAGTGCAGTAAGTATGGAAAACAACACCGGGGTAACTCTGCCCTTCTATTTCCTTTTATACCATTTGCTAAGTGTAGACTGTAACTCCTCAGACTGACATCCTGCATCTAATTCCACATAGGAAACCAGCTTTCAACAGTCTTATTTGACGTGTCAATATGCATAATTATATCAGAAATGTTGAAGATAAGAACTGAATGCAGAAGCAGCATTTACAAACAGCAGCAAATAAATCAGTAACAACAAAACCTTGCACCACTAAAACAGGTGCAACCACCACAGTCTTGTAAGAAAGTGAACTCTGTAATAACACTGACATAAGCTTTTCCCATGACCATCTTCCAAAAAGCAAAAGAAAAGACGTAAATCAAAGTGAAGCAACATGCTCCCCCTCAAAGCAGAATAAATCCAGTGGTTTCTGTTCTTACCTTTGTATAGTCAAAGTCAGAAAGAGGAGCTATACTCTTGATGTAGTCCATTCGAAATTGGTTTTCTGGGTTGGCCAATGGAACTGGGGGTATTAAAGTGCTCATAGCTGAAACTATAGTCTGGAATTGGATAAAACAAAAACAAACACATTAATCTGGATAAATCTTAGGATACAGGATCAATAGAAGATAATCCAATCTGATCAGCAAAATGGGATTTCTCTCAGCACAGTCTTGGAGAGCACAATCCTTATCATTTCCAGTACAGCCAAGCATTTAGAACAGTATAAAGTGTGTTCTTACCACAATCGCATCTTTAACATTTTTCCGAATATCCAGTATTTTCTGTTTCTTTTCTCTGCATTAAAACAGAAATATTAACACTTTGGTTTTTTTTCCAAAGCAGTTCAGTCAGTTGCATTCAATTTGCTTTTTCACTGATCGCTTGTTTATCTGCTCTTCAATCATTATAACATATTAAATGAAAAGAACAGCAAGAAAAATATATTTTTCCCCTTATCCCTTTTCTTGCATAGTACGAAGAGCAATGCACATTCATCCCTGCTATTTTTTTTTTAAAGCAGACAATCATAGCCACATCTGCAAAGCCTCCCCTGATGGAACTGGAAGTCGTTCTTTCATTTCTACAGCATGCTGTAAACATGCCTTAAAATAACAACACGTAGTTAAGGCGAACAGATATTTAAGATTAATACTATGGATTAGTAATAATTTCTGGCAAAGAGTTCTTCAGAGAGAAAATGATGTAGCCTCAGAAAACAGAATGATATCTAGCAAATGTGCAAAATTAGTTTCAGTTTTATGCTAACCTCAATACCGGAAAAGAGCAGATACTGTTGTAGTCACCCTGAATGTGACTTGACATGTATTTTTGAATTATGGACAGATGCAATATTTGGTTATTTGCTTCTATGTAAAAAGTAGTCGCCATGTTGTTGCTACACAGGGGCCTGTCAAGTGCTGCAGTAGCAACAGTGTAAAATACAGTAAAGGGGCCAGAAAGAAAAAAATGCAAATACACAATAGCAGTAATTTCCTTATCCTCACCCCCTTCCTCACTCAGAACGCAGTGTCAAGCCACCAAAACACAGGGGATGAGAGGAGACATTTCCTAGCCTACCGTGTGTTGACCTGTTTCCAATATTTAATGAAAAATAAGTCACAAAGCATCAATAATTCTTACTCTGAATTAAATCCATTGACATGTAGGATTCGCATTTGTTTCACAATAGTGCTTTTTCCTGACTCACCAGCCCCTAAAAGAGAAGGAAGGAGAGGGAGAACATTGTGATACACGGTTCAGGCTGGGGTCTCAGGGTGGGTTTTGGTTGTTTTTTGGAAGCGACAGCATCTCCCACCTCCGGCAGCGCTTCTGTATGCCTGCATCCATGTGGCTCAGGCGCTGAGCTTCAATCTGTGGACGTCTCGCATAGCGCTCGATACAACAGCCTACATTCTTCATACCTAAGGCGCGCACCACATCTCCCCTCTCCGCAGACACCCCTCTTCTCCTCTCCCCGTCCCCCACCTCAGCCCCCTTCCTCCTTACCCAGCAGGAGCAAGCGGTGGGTCGCTTTATAAGCCAGCCTCTCTTTCTGCAACTGCTTCTCTATTTTTTTGTTGGCTTCTCGCTGCGCTTTCTCATCGATACGCTGATCCTCCGTTTTGCTGTTGCCCAAACACCCCATAGCCGCCTCTTAGGATGGATGTCAAATCCTTGCCTTCACAGATTTAGTACTTACAAGGGGGAGGAAGGGGAAGGGGGAAGGGGGGGAGGCAGAAGACAAGTCTTTATATCCGTGTGTCCCTGCGACGGTTTCTCTTCTCTTCTTCACACCCCCCCCCCCCCCCCCCCCCCGCGGGCTCGCTCACAGAAAATGGTCTCTAGCCGCTCTCCGAGCACCGCGGAGTTGGTTTGCTCGCTCCCCACAGGAGATGCGGAGGGCGGGCGGCGGAGGTGACCGTGCCCCGGCAGGGAGGGGGTGGAGGGGGAGAAATCGGTGCAAAAATGCCTAACATGCAACGAGAGGGAGAGAAAGGGCTCCTCCTGGAAACCAGCCGGGTGCCGCTCTCCTCTCTCCCTCCCCACCGCGCACACAATCCCTATATTTCTCTGTAAAGGTCTATTTTTGTCTTCCTAACTCAGCACTGCCTCTTTCTGCGAGACCAGGAAACAGCTCAGCTAGAAGCCCTACGCGCAGGGAAGCCGAAGGAGAAAGGTAAAAGCCGGACCGATCTACCTGGATCCTGCGGGGCCGCGGACAGGCGGCGGGGCCCCGCCGTAGCCCCGCTTCCTGCTCCCGGCACCCACCCCCCTTCCCGGGCCGGGCAGCCCCCCCGCTGCCCCCCGGGCCGTCCGGCACCGCGCCCCAGCGCCGCCGCGCCCGCCAGCCTCGGCCCTTGCGCCCCGGCTGCGCTGCTGCCGCGAAAACCTGGATCTGGCATCGCCTTCGCGGGACCTGTGCGGCCTCCGGGCCCAACCGCACCCCCACCGACACCCCGGCCTGCGGCCTGGCTGCCCGGGAAGAGGAATGCGCGACGCGGCACCCCAAGGCCGGGGGTCCCAATTTAACCCACGTTCCTCGGCGGCACTGGAAGACCTGGCTGCGGGCAGAGCAAGGCTTGGCACTCCCGGGTCTGAAATGCGAGGCTGCCACAGGTGATGGCTGCCATACGGAGTGACCTCGGGGAGTGTGCCAGTGCCACCGGCGTGGGAGAGCACCGAGGGCCTGCCGTGAGGGCATGCTGCCCGCACCCAGGGGGGCAGATGATGTACGCCTATGTAAAATGCGCGCACAAGCAAAACACCATGTGGAATTGCTAATAAACAGTGTCCTCTGCCACAAGTTGTCACAGCAGTACATAGGTGGGTTTTTCCTTTGACTAGTCCAACCTATATCAGCTGAATGAGAAAATGACGCTGTCTTGATAACTCACAATTAGATAGATTTTAATACCACTACCACAACAAATCTCAACAACAAACCCTATGTTTGTTTCTTCATTTACGTCCATTTTAGGTCCCAAAATGAAACATCAACTAGACAACATTACAGGTATTCCTTCTTGCTTCCAATCTCTCGCCTTGCAAACTGGCATCACAGTGCAAAAGCAGCAGTACAGCATCTGGCTCTTCCTGAACTTCCACTGCATAGAAACCACCTGTACTACTCAAACGTGATCCCTGATTTACTGAGGCACAAAAGTGATAGAAAAAAGGTGGACAGGACACCTCTGAAGTGCCACAATATTTTCAGGCTTTATCTCCAAGTATTACTATTACCCCACACTTTCAAAGATGGGTTACTGAAAAATTACTATTTTTATAGCCATGTATGTGTGCAAAATCCTGATCCTGACTAAAATCAAAGAGAGACTGCCATCAACTTACATAAACCAACATATTTTTATCTAAAATGTCTTGATTTGCATGTGGCAAAAAGAAACTGATTTTTATAAGCAGAAGGATTTGGGTTTTTTTTTCAATTGCTCTCTCAGGTGGGAAAGTGCTGGACTGGGGAAGAGGAACTAGTACTGTTAACTTTTGAGTGCACACCATAGGATGGTGAAAAGAAACAGGTAGTGCTCCACCTGTGGCTGGATATGTGGAGTTTTCAGGAGACTACTGATTTCACGTGTCAGATACATATTTTTACGGTACTGCTTGATACAGACTCTGGAAGTTGTTTTAGCTTTCTTCTTACACAGGTGAGGGGAGGGAGGGCAGACCCACTACAGGCAAAATTTGACAGGATCGGTCATAGAACCATAGAATGGTTTTAGTTGGAAGGAACCTTAAGAGATCATCTAGTTCCAACCCCCTGCCATAGGCAGGGACACTTCCACTAGACCAGGTTGCTCAAAGCCCTGTCTGGCCTGGCCTTGTGAGGCCAAAATACGCATTTTCAAGTGTCACCAAATTGCATTGTTCAGGACAGACATTCTCCTGTCAGGAGGGGCAAAACCTGCAACAGATACAGGTAAGTTTAGAAGCACAATACAGGGTGTTTTGGGAGGCTGTCAAACATAGGATACACAATGAATGGCTTTCATGAAGAGCAGTCACGTCTGCTCTCTGCTGCAGCCCTATGAGGGCTCAAAACAGGCTTGGCTAGAAATCACTAACTGGCTCTGGCTTCTCATAGTTCTTCACTGTCAGAAGCTGTAACTTACGATGCACAAGATGTGCATGGCCATATTTATTTCCTGTGTAAATAGCTCGGTTTGGGACCTAGATCTCAAATCTGGCTAATGTCATTTGGTCCAAGAAGCTGACTCTGCCTTGTTTCTTCCCCTCCTCTCCTCAGCAGTTTCTTCCTGCACGTACTAACATTGGGATTTTTGGTGCAGATTTGTTCCCAGCTCTGAAAAGGCTCAGTGCCAATAAATAGGATTTGACAGGATCCTGGTATATCCTGCTTTTACCTTTCTCCAAAAGAGGGAAAGTGTTTCTCATTTCCTCTCTCCCCCGTGAAAAAACCCATGACCCTTCTGGGTCTCTTCCTCCTGAGAAAAGATCACACAGTTCAAGAATGACACGCGCAAGCAACCTGTGCCCAGAAAGAACTTCTGGCTGTAACCGTATTCACAACCCTCCCTTTGCTTTTCCCAAATACAGCACTTACCCTGATGCATTTGAAACTGTGAAATCCTGGAAGCAATAAACACAAGAGAAGCTTTCACCCCTGTGGACACAGCAATTGTTTTGTTTTTCTTTTCCAGGGAGAAATCACAGCTATCACGTATGTCTCCTCTGCATGCAGATCAATGTAAACTGTGAGCATAATCCAAATACCTGCTTCTATAAAAGGTTTCAGCAATGCTGCTTTACCAAACCAACTTCTAGTACAAATCATAGATGTGAATAAAAACAAAACCCCAGGCAAGAGAAAGGAGATTCTTCCTGCTCTTCCCCTTTCTTCCCAGACAACCAACATGGCATCCTCCTCAAGTTACTGGTCCTGAAAACGAGGTATTTCACATTGCTCCTGCCCCATCGGATTAGGCAACATATGTATACATACATATATTTACATATGCACATATATAAATAAATATATATAAATACACACTGTGTGCAAAAATAAGATTAATCTTCTGCTTCATGCTCAAACTTGGTGTCCCACTGTGAAAGCAGGCAATAAACCATAAGTCCCCCTGGAGGGAAACTGGAGACACCTATATTTCCTGCTTTCCTTTATGAGTTCCCACCTCAGGTCACATTGTTTATGAGCCTCAGGTTGAATGCTGGGGACCCACAAAGGCCACATCTGCACTCCTGAATGGAAGAGAATTGACCACCAGCTGGAGTAAAGTTCAAGGGAACAGCCATACTTGGGTCGCCACCCTTGCCACAAAGTCAGTCTTGTTTAACATGCTCATTCTGTTTGGGCTAAAGAGGCACAAAATCCCAGCCATCACTAATGAGAAGTTCCTACAGATACAGCTCAAGAGATCTGGTTGCTCCTTGTCCCTCTCATCCAGAAGAGGACTTATACAGAGCTTTTTCTTGCAAACATTAGGTAGAAGTGGAGACAATTTCTCTACAGAAACGCTGCAGATCCTTTGCAGGCTATCTTCCCTTTACACAGCCTCTATTACAATTCTGGTTCTGCTTCTCAAAAAAAGAGCAAATGGAAAGACTTCTGTAAACAAAAGCTTAGGGGGGAGCTAAGCAACTGGAAGAGATTCTTCCTGCTTCCCACTCTTCCTGCCTCAGCTTTCACTGAGGTCTCTGAACTCTGCTGTTACCATCCTCAAGTACAAGCACCGTGCTAGGTGTGTAACACTGGCAACCTGACCTGCTTCTCCTCACTGATGTCTCTTTTTCATGTAGTCCACTGCTGCACATCAGGATATGCAACTCACTAGTTCCTGTGTTTTTAACTCCACCTCATCCTCAAACCATGGTCTGAAAATAGAAGAATGAGTTCGTATTTGTTTAAGTATTCAAGAAAAAGAATTCTTTTTTTCTGGTAATATATTCTTAGTAAGGTTCTTCTGCAGATGTCTTCTGCAGATGTCTGTTCTGACTTCTCTCCAGATGTAAAATATTGAACACAAAAGTATACACCCTTCCTGGAAGACCACATTTGGATTTTTATAAGACAGATGAACAAGGAACCAAAAAAAAAAACCCTAAACCAAAACCCCTCCGACTGTATCAAAAATGCTGACTCAGGGTATAGAAAATACACAGCACATGCTTTGTAGAAAAGTATCATGCTAAGGAAAAATTTCACCTTTATCCTTTTGCTTAAATCCATGACCTCAAAAAAGTCATTAAAAGAATCTGAAGAGAAGCTCTTCTGTTTTAAGAAGCAGGATGGGAGAGATGCCAGAGAAGGTGAGGTATGCATTCCCACAGTGACTGTGGACCTGAGCCTGAGCTGACTTCACATTTGTGGCTTAAGGACAAACTCACTGATGCAGGAGAGGGTCAGGCAGTGCTGAGGGGCATGGCAGTGCTCTGAGTAGTTCCCCAGCTCCCTGACCCAGTTTGCTGTCCCAATTCCTGTGCCATACTCCTTCACTTGGCAGCTGCCACCATGTAACTCACCTGACAAACCAACTTACCCTTTGCTCTCCCACAACTCCCCCCATCTCTGTGAGGCACAGGCAAGCAGCAAAAGAAAGAGAGAAAGCAGATGAAGTGATGTGGTAAAAGACTATAGACTAAAAGTAATAGGTCTAAAAAAGAAAAAGTTTTCCAGAGAAATGCTGCAAGCAGCAGTCCACAGAAATGACAATAGACTTGTGCCCCGAGAAAGCATTTGTGAAGGGAGGATTAGCTCCAAGAAGCCAGATACTCCTGGGAAGCCTATGTGGAAAGCATCAGGTGTAAAGCAGATCTGCAGTATGATTTTGCTAAAGAAAGAGAACAATCCTCTTCGAGTCAAGCTAGTTATTCCTTATCCAAGCTAGTTATTCTTCACCTGCGCTCCACAAGAAAGCAGGGTGAAAGGCAAGTCTCTGCTCTGGCCAGCCTCATCATCTCAGGGTTTCCATTTAGATGTTTATTGTAAGATAATTCATGTGTTTATTACTTGTTCTCTTCTGACTAGAAATCCCTTTCTATGAAGGCAGAATCTCATGGCAGCACCACACACATGTCCATCTGTAGGTACCAAGGGCAGAAGCTGCTGATTGAAACTAACATAAATCCATTTAGGTTCTAATAATGTTTAAAAAACTAAGTAACAATACTGTTACACATTACAATCTTACATATTACAATCTAACACTGTTAAACAAAGTGACATTGATGATTTTCCAATAAGCAAAAGGACACCTTCTTGTTTGATGAATTTGCAAAACTCTGTTCTGCGTTATCTTACATTGTTAGCAAAGCAGAAGGCACTTTTCTCATAGTATCCCAATTTATAGGGAGTTTCACTTGTCTGGGCAATCCAAGGACACCCTCCCCCCACTGCTCTCTTGAACTGAATAAACAAAGTAATACATTCACATTTTAATGCAATAGAAAAACAGTTCAGTTGCTCAGGATAGTCTTGGAGATTAAATACATTTAAATAAAGCTAGGCAAAATATGCTGATATCAGCCTAATTTAGAATTGAATTCATCAATAAATAAGTAAGTCCTCTAGAATTATAGATGGAGTTACTGCTTTAAAAAGGGAGGAGGAATCTATATAGGAGACCTGTCCTGGATTCTCTGCAACATGCTGACTAAGACCTTCCACAGCTGTTAACAGCAAAGCCAAATCGTTGATCTTCAGCTTATAAAGGGTTTTGTATGTCATCTAGAATTTTGCATTTAATCGTAAATGCTCAGGTCAACTATCACAATCTCCCTATTTGGACACAAATGAAAAACTGTGGAAAA